CAATCGTAAATTACTTGTAAAATCTTGAAAAAACACAACTCAAAGCAGTATGGCCTTTTAAGAATTTGTTTACACTGTTCCACTGATAGTGATATACATGGTATATGAGTTCAATAAGAATAACTAAGACACCAAGCGTATGTAACAAAGAAAGCAGTGTGTTGTTACCAGTCATGTCTGATTGTCGGCGCATTTGAGGCGATCAATTGTTATCAATTTTTTCCACGAGAGAGCTTTGTTATGAAGTCCCATTCTGCTTGGGAAGGTATTAAAGTGGTAGTTGTCTGCTACTGTATAACTCTAGGATAGTTCATTACAAACTTTAGACAAAAACTTTAACCATTGGCAAATATCACGTGTGATAACTTTTATATACAAGAATGTGCAGACTTATTAAATTGAAACTATCTGATAAGAAAAAGAAATTACAAAATTAATAATACTTCTGAAAAAACAGGTATACATGATAAATAACGTTCAATTGAATCTTTATTCTAAATTTAAATCATAAAGTAGGTGTATTTATTAAACATGCAACACAAATTGTGATAAACAGAATATCCTATTTATCATGGAGTTAAACATTTAGTTCTGAAACATTTGTCTGCATTACACCATTAATCTTCTTTAATTTACGCATTGCAATGATGTGGAAGACAGCATGATGTGCAATTTTCTTGTTGATTAGACATGATCTTATAAAATCATTCGTAGAGTCGGTTAATTGATTGTTACTTATTGTAATCAGGAAAATAAACCCGGAAAAATAGCAAGTGTTATTGGCAGTTACGTCAGAGTTTGCTTTGGAGAAATAAAAACAGCAATTAAAATGAATGACGGTGTATGACGTAATGTGATGGTATTCACATTTTTAAGTTTCTTGTTAAAGCACGTTTTCCTGAAGTTTTACAAATCATCTTTCAAGACACTTTATCAGCGAAAAATCCGATATGTTGCATTCTTTGTTAACTGTGGATATTTAGTGGAGGATATTCAGCACATATCTAAGGGGAACGGTGGCCTAGTGGTTAAGGTGTCTGCCTCTCAACCCAGAGATCATGGGTTCGAGCCCTACTAGGGTCACGACCATGTTCTTCTAATGACACAAGTACTGGTTGGTTCCAGGAAGCGGACTCGAAATAGTGAAAATCAGAATCTCTAAAGGAAGCCCAACACGCCAAAATTGTAAAACGTTGCAGGCTCGGTTTGAAAAAAGTGATTAATATAAGTTGCAAGAACTTGTTTTGCAATTGAGCTTAAATAAATATGTTTAAACAAATCAGCACATATCCCGTTGCTTGTGCATACAGAAATAATTTTAAAAAAAGAAACATTTGAATAACTTAAGGCTATTTTTTTGGGTTTTTTTTAATTTCTTTTTAGTATTTTCTTCCGTTTTTGTTCTTTTTAAAATATCTGGCCCACCCATTTCCCAAGGTTTTTTTATGGGATTTTTTTACATCACAAAAGGGTTTTTCCCTTTCCCGGGGCATCTCTTTCGTGTGCCCTACTTTCCTATGTAAGGTCAGTTGATAAAGACCATGAAAACTCTCATCATTTAGTAGAAATGTATTCTTTAACATATCATGTGTTGCTTATAAAAAGCTCTCAAGATAAAACAAAACGCTTCAGCTTACGAACATATCACTTCAAGTTTGTTTGATATTTATCCATAAATTGCTGATGACAATGCAGAAAAATCTCAAGGTGAGACGTGCAATCTGTCAATATTGACTTCAGTACAAATAAGTCCTGTACCGGATAATAACCCTGACGACTCCCAAATTTATATATCCATAAGAATTGTGTTCTATACACAGTCAGGCAGAATTTTACAAAGTTAACAACAGAATGTAAATCTGACAAAATTTCCATTTATTACATTCATTTCTGAAGCATTCAAATATTATTTTGATATAAATTACGTTTATTTATTTATTTATTTATTTATTTATTTATTTATTTATTTATTCAATTATTTATTTATTTATTTTGAGTATACGGCGCAGTAACACAGTTGAGGTCATATGGCGCTGAAATAAGAAACTACCTCACAGACTGGAGCTCAGAGATGCAAACACACTTAGTTATTCGAGCCAATTAAGTAGCCTCTTATGAAAACGAAGGGTTATAAGGTGACTGCAGTTATAATGCCCTAATAATTTAAAACAACCCCTCAAGAGGCATTTAATTATTTCACATCGCTTTAACAATCATATTATGATTTTTTAAAGTGATGTATCTCTTTGCATGTGTACGTTAAATACGTACTTAATTAACGCAATTGAGACATATCCAAAAAGACATAGTCTATGGCATGCACTTTTGCTCATACTTGTTGAATATATCTGAAAAGAAGATTCGTACGTATGGCATAGACTTCTATTTGTATATCCTCTTATTTGTCTTTAAATAAATACGGGATTGAATGCGCATTGATTTTCAAAAGAATGCAAATTAAGTTTTACGTTTTTCTCTCACTCGTTTGGCTATATATTTGATCGGATTTTACTAAAAGGCAATCAACATTATTCTGCAATATAAGGCACTTGCATTAATTCTCTATGAATAATTTACAAAAGGCTTCACAAGCTTAGAATGGTTTGAAAAAATGTCAAACTGATTTGCGTTGATATTGGTATCTTGGCAAGTCCATGCATGTTTTATGTATGACCTATCTAACAAATGGTAAATTGTTCATCTCCTTCATATACTCTTTGAAATAAGTAATACTATACCACTTACCTTCAATAGATTTGCTTTGGCACTGCCACTTATATAAGTTAGACATCAGTTATGAGATTTCATCGTTTTGTCTTATCTGACAATTTGTGAAGTGTAACATAATGTGTTGATTAACCACTTTTTCTCTTAACGAGAGGGACATTTTAGTTACACATTACAATTCAATAATTGGTTTTCTGATATAATTCACTGTGAAAGTTTACAATCAGTGGCATTATGTCAATCTAAGCGTAAATGGTGAGTGTACAGATTATAACATTAAACTTAAATTTATTTTGCACTTTACCAAACTTGTTTTCAATTTTACATTCTGACTCGCAAAACTCACGTGACCCACGGAGATTACAGAAAGCAATTAAATAGAGAAAAACAGAATCCCTAAAGAAAGCCCAACACGGCATAATTGTAAAATGTTGCAGGCTCGGTTTGATTTAGCCTGTTCATGGACGGTACTGGAAAGTGCGAGTTACCGTCCACGCCCCCTAGCACCGGCTTAAGCAGAATTCAACATTTAAACACAAAAATGGTCAAATTGTGAATTTAGAAACATCCGCAGATGTGTTCATACGGCGGTCATCATGGAACCTTCAATGTGACACAATAGTGTCATTCCATGAATAGCGACGTATGGTCCCAAGTAAAAGAATGCGTGTAAGTTCGTATTTCATAAGATACGTTCACTTGATAAAAAGAATGGGACAGTATTAAAAAACTTTAGTCACTTAATACTAAAAAATATCTTTTCGTTATTGATTATTGGCCAATCACCATTTTGATAGCTTTATAATCTTTTAAAATACATGTTTATACCATTACCATTTCTGCTACAATACCGGTGTGGCGTGAATTTTGTCAGACCCGTGAGGAACGTAAGACTTTGCGTTTTGCGCATGCGCAGATACAATGTAGTTGTCGGACGGGGCCGTGAGATGTGTAAGACTTTCTGGTAGAATTCTGCGTAAACCACGTTTAGAAGCTCATTAATTAATAAAGTGAAGTTCTTCCTTTTATTCATGAGCATAGAACCATTTTCTACGATAACTACTTTTATTTATCTGTATCGTGTGGATGAAATATTGTCCAAGTCAGTGGCAGCCTTTCGACATCGTTCGTTCCCGATGTCGAGTTGATGGAAAATCCTGGAAAATCGAAGAAATATACCCTTTAACTCGGTTAGTATTTCACGTCAAAAAACGTTTACAATAAGTTACTGTTTTTGTTGATATATTATTTGCTATCAAAAAGGGCATGAATATTTTTTTAGTAACTAACACCCAAAAATGCGAATACTTTTTTTAAAAATTCAAATTTCTGCAACTGTCACAAAATTTTACGGTACTGACAATGATTTTAAAAGCTATTGCAAGCATAAACGTTGAAGCATGAATTTTTGTAAAACGACAGATGTAGTTTTGTAGCGGTCATATAAACTTCAATTAGACTTTTTCCAGTCTAAAGACACGGGGATAGAGTTATGGCAGAAGAAAAGGTTTTATTATATAATTAAAAAAATGTTTTATACAGTTAATTTTCTACTTAATAATATATATATACTTTAAAAAGGAAGCAAAACGTACATGTACAAATCAAGTCATTAACCTCATCCACGTTATTTTATGTAATCATGTTAAATTCAAACACTTACAATACAAGTGCAAAACCGATAAAGTTTTTTCCGGATAAGAAGAAACGGTAAAAAAACACCAGATACATGTATACAAATCTTCATAATCATATAGTAACAGTTTTGATGATAATATGATTTAGAAATTTTCATATCGTTATCAGTATACAAAAATATGATTAACAAGATCAACAAGGAAAGGCGGCGTTCAATGAACGCATCCCCCATATGACCCAGCAACAAGAACCAGTGGCAAGGAGCCCAGGCGGACCCCAAACAAAAACGGGACCGGGCAAAGACAGAGTACGGACAGGTTAATCATTAATTGATAAAGTTTGGCGTGATGCCAGATGAGGTTTTGGAAGATTAAATGATTTTAACTTGCCAGACGGTGAAAGTAAGTATGCAAACAGTATATAGGCATAAATGTATTTTTCTAGACGTGATATAATGTGAGTAAATATATGAAATTTCAGTTTGAGAGATTTTGTATTTTTATTGCCGTCGTTGTACATTCCGAACCTTTATTGACCTTAATTTAAGTAAATTAATAAAATATATCATGAAATAGTGCAAATATCATAATAAAACGATGACATTTTCCAAAAAAGAGTTTTGTTTTTGTGATCCATTGTTTTTGAAAACTCATTTGTTTATTCACTGTCACTGTCGCTGTTCTGAAGATCGTCTTCAATCTTGTGATCTGCATAATGTAATATTTGCGTTAAAGCAAGAAGAATTGGTATGTTGTACTTCCAGGTCATATCATATGTTCTTTCATAATTCGTGACTGGGTGTATCGAGGCTTCAGGAATGTTAAATATATCACTTGCTGTCTTAACAGCTTCTTTAACGAGCCAGCTTCGGAACATAACTTCGTTGTTCTTGTATACTTCCTTGCAAAGTAAATCAGCTTTCGTCAATATAAGTACCCGTGGTATATCTATATAATATTTATAATGTTATTATATCAGCCAAATGATGTTTTCAGTGTTAGTTTGACTTAGAATATAAACTTCAACAAAAGCAACATTATTAATATCTTACAATTATTTGTGTTTCTTGAGGAGTAGTGGTCATGAAAATGTGTTCTTTTTCTGGATATAGCATATCGATTTAATTAGTTGTCGTTAATTGTCGGAACTTAAAAATAATGTTACAATGTCAAAGTCAACACGTGTTACATATGGTAGCTGAATAACGCCATGTCGTATTTTTGCTTCTTAGTCTCAGAATGCGAAGCGAAAAAGCGAAAATACGACAGAAGACAGGCGAAAATACGAAACATAAAATCCGTCGTATATTCGCATTAAATCTGTCCTGTTTTCACTTTTTCGTGATCAAACTTCAAAAATTCAAAAACACAATAAGACGACAAAGTATACCTGCGCATGTTTGCTTTGTTACATTTTGGCATTGTTGCATTTTCGCTTTTTTACATTGTTGCATTTTCGCATTGGTGCATTTTTGCATTCAAAATACAAAAGTACAAAAACACAAAGAGAAAATAATATATAAACTTTGTCGTCTCTTCGAACAATCGCAACTACTCGGCCCTTTCCGTCAGTCTTCGGATAAGGACCTCGAACACAATAATATGAATACACAGAACGGATGTGGTATTTCGGTCTTTTCCTACGCTAAGAAAAAAACTAGTAATTTAATGCCCGGGAGTTGTTTTAAAATTTTTCCCTATATGTAGTAAAAAAACCCCCTAAAATAAGTTGGGAAATTTAAGGTACAAAAAACAAAAAAATACATTATTTATATGGGTTTTATTAGCTGTAAAAACCCAAAGTACAAAAAACCAAAAATGTTGACATTTTTGTCGGATTTGTTTTGAACATCAGTGGGCATAAATTTTAAAATTTCAAAGTGTTGTCGCATATTTTTTAAAACATAAGGTACCGGGAACAAAACTTTGATGTCAAAAATATAAAATTTTGTTTAACCCTTATCTCTGTTTTTTGTTTTTTCATCTAAAAACCCGTTTTTAGAATACTTTTAAACCGTTTTTGTTTCCGAGGTTATTATAGATAATAGCCGAGGCAGTTCCGAATGGTCTTCGAATAGTCAAAATGCAACTCTGCGAAAATGTTAAAATGCAACAATACGAAAAGGCGAAAAATACGACAAAATGAAATGCCAATATATCACAGATTTAACGCGTCGTATTGTCGCCATTGTTCTGGAGTATTTTCGCTTTTCACCTCAACAATTCGAAATAGAGAAAAGACGAAATGACGACACGTCATACATTCGTGTTTTTGCATTTTTCGCATTTTGGTGGCAAAGAAGCGAAAAGCGGACTTGATGTAAATCATATACCCTTTTTACACGAACACACCCATCAAAAGAAATTAAATTTCTGAAAAAAAAGTCAGTGTCGTTTCTTTCTTATTGTATGTGATAATAAGCGCAATGCAGTAACTTACGTAACCGCCTTATTTCTTCCTGCATTTCTTTTATTTTCTTTGAAAAGTTTCGTGGCATGTGTTGCTGTATGGCATTGCCATCAACTACAAAAACAACGCAATGGGCCTGATGTTTATACTGTGGATTTTCACGGTAAAACCTATCATCTTTCGAAATTGGTGTGCGTGGGTTAAACTGAAGGAAAAGTACAATAACAAAACATACCGGTGAAGCACCACGTAAGAAAACAGCTGAATACGCTGTTTCAATTGAGTTTATAAAAAATAATAATTTAAACAAAAGAAACAAGAAATCAAACTTAATTCTGAAAATAATAAAGATATTAAAGTTTTTTTTACATAATTAGCGTTACACTGTTTATTGTTATCTGTCTTATCTCACTATACCGAGATGTGTGTGTAACATTACGATCATTACGGTTTGTAGCTATGATAATGAAATAAACTGGGTTTAAGTCAGATAAGTATTAAAAATACCATATTTCTACGTTTTACTGATGCCTACTTTAATCACGTTTCATCTTAGCAAATATCAAAAAGTTTTATATAAAATCCGCATTGGTTATTTAACCTCTGCATAATGGTGAATATCAACAAAGAACGGAGTAATTACGAAATCTAGTCAAACAAGACTGTTTCTGAACATGGCAATGCGAAATAGGTAACGCAGAGTGTCAATATATAATGTGAGTGTTTACTTTCAAAAGATCAATAAAAAAGTGAGATTGTAATATTTTCCTCACCCAATGACCAAAGATAGGTGAGCTTTTGGTCGATATGTCCATCTTTTCATGTAACAGAGAATGTCCGCTTATATTTGCTTAGAACAAGTTAACCCATAAACGAGATTGAAATTTTCATCAACAAACACTAATAGTATAACTATTTACAATATGTCACTGTTTCGTCTACAATAAGACTGTAATTACCAGCAAAGACCGGCATTATTACCACCTCTAACGATCTGGATGCATGACGTGTTCTTTGTCACATAAAGAGATAATTATACACCCACACACAAAGTTGCGGGGGTATATAGGAGTCGGTCCGTCCGAATGTCCTTCCGTCCATCGGTCACCTTCGTGGTTTACGGACGATAACTTGCATTTGGAAGGAGATATTATAGTCAAACTTTGTAAAAAGCAGCCTTATGTAACATTCCAGGCTTGTATTGCTTTAAGAACACTGTTACTAAAGATATGAAGGGTTTCTGGACAATAACTAGAGATAGGAATGCAATTATGTGATCCAACTTGCAAAACAGTAAGTCAATATAAAGAGTCGGGTTTGTGTTGCATTTGGAACCCCTGGGGTTAAAGTCAATGTCACTGTTACTAAAAATAGAAAAAACGGTTTCCGTTAGAAATAAGATATTGTAAACAAACTTGGTTGAAAGCTTATATGAGAATCCGGGTTGGGATTGCATTCTTTGACCCTTGGGGTCAAGGTAAATGTTACTTATAATAGAAAAAAAAATGGTTTTCAGACATTAACTTGACTTTAGAATGAGATACGTAATCAAACTTTGTATTTAGCAAGCTTATATGAAGCCATGGGTTGATTTTGCATTTGGACCCCCTGAGGTCAAGGTCACCGTTACTAAAAGAAGAAATGATTTCCGGAAAATAACTAGAAATAGGAATGAGATATTATTTTAAACTTTGTATAAAGGAAGCTTATATAAAGATCCGCGTCGTAATTGCATTCGGACCCCCTACAATCAAGGTCAAGGTCACTGTAACTATAAAATGTTTTCAGACATATACTATAGTTAGAAAAAAGATATTGTAATCAAACTTCGTATATAGTAGGCTTATATAAAGACTCAGGTTGTAATGGTCTTTGGACCCCCTTGGGTTAAGGTCACCGTTATTTGAAATAGAAAAATAGTTTTCAAGACTATAACTACAGTTAGACTTGGCATATTGTAATCAAACTTTTCTTAATTCGAACACATTTTGTCGCCTCATACAATTAGGCAGAGATAAACGGTGGATGTATTTCAGATGTCACAAGCTTTAAAGGTAATCCCTCAGCCACAAGTGATGAGGGGTGGTGGATATATTCACAAAGCGATATCATGAGCCCGTCAATTACAGTCAACAATGTATGGTATTACCTGCTTATAAGATTTGGATATGTAAATGAACAAGAATGACATGGTTTTTGCATCCTTAATGAAAATGAGTCTATCTCCGTTAAAAATCGAACTTTATGTCTAAAATTTATCTATTTCATGATAATAATTCCCGTACAAATAGACAAATACTTTTAACATTTAATGTAATATACATGCATATTTTTAAAGTTTAAAATATGCTATTGCTTATTTTAACACATAACTATGCGCGAAATGAAATTTCGGAATGAAATAATAAATAGCGGTAACGATAAACATTTACGACCCTTCCAAATCTTTAAATTTACCTCATAACCAACTTTTACATGTCCTTTAAGAACAGCTATGATGTCTTTTGTATTAAACCCGTCTTCTTCACCTTGTTCTATCCCCATACAATCTTTCCATTGAAAGTTTTCAAGCATTATGTTGTCTTTGTAATTCACATACTGAAATGAACAATTCTAGAAGTGTCGATTTGTTCACTTAATGTTTAAAACCTTGAAACAGTATCATAAAGGAGCGCATTATTTTGACTTAGACAGAACTTGGTTTGTTTCACTTGTTCATTTGATTCTTATTCAAGTGTATAAATGGAATACTATATGATTACTCTATTAGTAAATGTAGTATTTCAACTACTAACATTATGACAAAATCTCAAGTTGCAGTACATGCTCCATAAAAAAGGCATTCTTTTGCAGTATATCATCAACTGGACGTTTGCTTGCTTTTAGCGCAAAGTGTTTGTTTTTTCCTTTACTTTTTCCGGTTTATATTCTGTTAACATGGATCAAAATATTATTTTATTTTTAGCATAAGTCATTGCAATATTCAAAGGCATTAAATGTTTTGATCGATCTGTAGTGTTTCAGTTTTCTTTCAATTTGTTAATGCATAAGCATATTATTTAAAGATACTGCCATCAATGTAGCATAGCCTTTTGTGACGATATCATTGTCCGTCATTTAACGAAACTTTTAGATGTAGTGTTATTTTGATCAAAATTTATTACGTCATTCATACAAGTATCATTTTTACATTGAACATTTTCAGGAGTGAAACCTTTATGAACCTTTTAGAAAACAGTGTAGATTAACCTTACACCGAAATTGTGTTTCAGAATATAAACTAGGCTTTTTATAAAAGTAATGTCGGGTTTTTTTATAATAGGTTATTATTTTTTAAATTCATTTAAGAGAATAAACGATACATACAGATACCATTGCTTTCCTAAACACTCTTATTTGAACATTAATTATAGTTTGATCAAATTGGGTGCCGTCGAACACTATAGAGATCATATTTCGTGTGTGAGCACATATTTATTTCTATATAACTGAAACTGAAAGGTAAGTCTCTATATTTTTGTGTGATTTTTAATCTTATTTTTTTTCCAAAATTTCTTAAAAAGGAAATACGTATCAAAGACAATAAAGTAGTTTTTTCAATTGAAGAAAAGACGTTATTGAATGTTGCGTTGTGAACGTCGCTCTCCCCTCTTGATCATTATATTCAGATTTTATCCAATACAGTCATTCTTTCGATGCATTTTTTTTACTTAAACGAACGCACTACATCGTAAACTATAACAATTCCGTAAGCATGTTATGTTAAGGTATATATTTGACGTTTTACATGGTAAGGCACTATCTAGTACCAATAAAGATACCCGCTAAGGCCTGACATTAGTACTTGAGATAACAATACCCCCAAGAGATAAATTGTATCAGGAAATGTCGTAATGGTTTGTTATTTTGTTGTGAGTAATGCTTCCGAGGGATCACTTTGTTTCCAGATTTTTATATTTAGGTATTTTCTTATGCAGATATTTGCCGCGTTGTTTAGATATTGTTATGAATATTTTAGCTTTATTCGTTCATCTAAAACGAAGCAAACGATAAGTGACATGAAATATGTTAAATGCATACTCGATATTTAAATATGTTGCTTCACAATGTATAATCAAAGAAAATATGCTTACTTTAACTGTACAACTCTTGCTTCCTTTCTTAACCGGCGCATATTCGACTTTATGTCTGTTGGCAACAGTTAAAATTGAATTGATAAATGATGATTTTCCTGCTCCAATTGGTCCAACAAATACAATATTTGCTTTCTCTTTTGGTTTGATGTCGTCAATTTCACTACGAATTGAATTTTCAAGCTGAAAAGGAAAAACAAGCAATGATAATAAAATAAAATATAATCATCTTTAACGCAACTTTGTAAAAGAAAAAACATGTTTTTTAAATTGATGATTTTTAATTAGTGGCCACGTGTTTTACGAAAATACAGAAGTCAACAGGATATGATACAAGATCACATAGGATAAGAGCCGTTCAAATGCCCCCCCCCAATAAAACAAAACACAACACGACATAATAAGACAATCGCAGAGACCAGGAGACAAAAACAGGAATTGCGCACGGAGAGCCAGCGGACAGGCTTAAATGATGCCTCAAAAAGAAATAATTACGAAAGGAAATTAATGAAATTATAGAAAACATATCATGATTGGATTTATAGATACAATGTTGGACAACAGGGACAGGGGATGAAATCGGGATTAGAGGGGTAAAAAAATAACCTAGGGGCTTTAGAGGTAAGATCTTACCGAGACGAGAAAAAACGTACAATTGCTTAAACCCTTTATTCCAGATTTGATTTTTTAACTATATCAAGTTTGTTTGTTTTTAGGTTTTTATGAAGATATACTTGATGTAGCGAAAGATGATTTTTGATCGATATTTTGCACCACACACCCTGAGTTTGTGATTTTTCCAATTGTCTTTACATATTCTATAAAACAACCATCCAAGTGCCAATTCTTTTTTAAAACATTGATAACCACAATTCATCTATAGGCTATTAGATTTCTTTTTATTACATTTTTGTAAAAAAAATGTTTTTTAAGGACAGTAAAATTTATTCAAACCCAATTCAACAAAGTGTAATCATTAAGTAATCTAAAATTGACAACATGCTCGAGATTATTTTATAGTTGATAATGTATTAAAAAAACTATTAATTGTTTTACTAATAAAATGTTATGATAAAGTTATATGGACAATTTTTAGACAATATGTTCTAAAAATTAATGTGACATTATGCTCATGTTTTCATAGTCAAGTTGAGATAATTGACTTTATATTTCAAATGACTGATTGTTTAAATGGTGTTTGACCAACAGTTTATATTGGAAAATGTTAAGGATAAAATTTGAAATATGCCAAAGACATAAAAATAATGCCCCACTCTTTTTTATTTATTGAACGTTACAGGTAAATTCTAAATGATATTTATAGAAATTTGGTTATTTATTGTTTATGTGGAGTAAATTATTAAATCAAAAGGAATAATTGCAAAATGAAATTTCTTTTTGACTCTCACCTGTTCACTCACTATATACCTTAAGATGAGCATATTGTCCCTTTAATGTAAACTAATCCATCTACAAAGTGATGGGATTTTTCTAGCTAACAAGAGCAGTTAAGTTGTGTAGATGTAAACTGACAGTCGCTATGGGTGTACATTTGCTTTAATGATCTTGAGTTGAATCAAGACTATTTTTACGGTGTAGATTGTAAGAAAAAACCATTATGTTCGTTTAAATTTCAGCTTATCCAATATTCCTGACAATATGTACTAAACACTCATACAAGCATACGTGCATGATTATTGTTTGCAGACATATTTTTTTTCAGTCATTTTAGTTCTTGATGGCAGATCTACATTAAAAAATGTGCTATCTTCTAGTTCAAAATTATTTTTTTGCACAAGGAAAATACATTATATGATGCCTGTGGATACTGTGTGAGCAACTAGTTATATTCTAAATGTCGAGGACCTTGTTTTTCCTACTAACAAGACCATTGTTGCTTCCGTTCTTACACATATCATGCAAAACATGGTTTAAAACCCACATTTATTTTAATTTCGGTCACAGGCTTCATTGTCCCCTATTTTGCAGTTAGATTAGCTGCGTATCAAGGGATATATGTCTGTATATAAGCAGAGGATAGAAACAGATGCTATCTGAAGATGTAAATATTTAGCAGAATTGTAACTAAAGTAAGTATGTACTTTAATGCAGCAAAACAATAACAAAACATGCATGTATTATTACATAGTTTTAGGCGTACGATTGAATAGGTGGTTTTCCATGACCATGCAGTTGCATATATAGTTGTTTAATAAAATTAGTTATACAGAGAAATAGTTATTGTAGAAATCCTTTGCTTTTCACAGCTAGAAGAAATTCAACTATGTAGCCTACACAGTTTATAAATCTAGTCAGGTTTTATTGGTTCTAGCTTATGATTCCAGTACGATTCTTTTTATAAATGTACCATAAGATTATTGACAGTCTGCCACTTTTATATGCCGCTTTTCATTGAATGGCACTTACGTGTCACATTGAAGGTTCCATGATAACTGCCATATGAACACATCTGCAGATGTTTCAAAATTCAAAATTGTACTGTTTAATGTTGAATACTTCTTAAGCCGGTCCTAGGGGGCGTGGACGGTAGTTTGCACTTACCAGTACCATCCACGAACAGGCTCATTCAAACCGAGCCTGCAACATTTTCAATTTGGCCGTGTTGGGCTTTCTTAAGGGATTCTTGTTTTCTCTATTTTAGTGATATGTTCTATTTAACTTATCATACTGATCTTGTTTATCATATTTCAATTGTGACTAATGTTTTATTTTGTGTTTATTTTTCAAATAATTTCAGTTGAGAATTACAAGACTGCTGGTTAACTTTTAGCGTTAGCCACCTTGTAGTTATCATCTGTAGGTGATGAGTGTGATCATTTGTGCCAATATAATCAAACTTCTCAATTGTAAAAAAGTTTTGAAGAGGACATAAAGCTTGTTAATTTCTAACATTTGACATCTGAGTGACTTTTGCGTGTCTAAAACCTTGGTTTAACAACCTGAATATTGCGCTCCACACATCAAGTCAAAATGGTGAACATTTTTTCAGTAGTTAAAAAGTTAAAGAGCAGATAGGAAAATGTGGACTTCATCATTTGACCTTTAAGTGTGACCTTTGGGATAGCAACCTAGATATACCTTTAGGGCAGCAACTTTGACGTGCTCTCTTCAGATTGTGTCATGATGGGGATCAATTGTGCTTAGCAATATTAAAATATGATAAACAAGATCATTGAATATTCAAAAGGAAAGGGTCATTAATTTTCTGTACACTTATAACTCTCTATATACATGGATTTTAAATGAAAAGAATCCTTCAAATGCGCGGAAAACAAGTGAAAAATTGCAGACTTGGTTTGATTGTGTCTGTTAATTGGCAGTTTTGCAAAACGCAACCCTGTCACGCCCCTAGCACAAGCATAAGCGATATAAAATCTTCAAAAATAAATGTGTTGAGATCAATGATCCCAAAGGAACCTCTGTTATCTAAATGTGGCTATTGATGATATACATATTTTACTTTTTTATTTATTTCTAGATTGAACACCACCTTGGAGGACCTCGAAGAAAACATCAGAGAGAGCATTAAACCGTTTTATAAGCCGGACCGGAGAGCTAATGCTGATTTGCTAACTGAAGTTCAACGGGCATTTGTAAAGTATCAAGTATCCACTATGTTTGACAATAAAGAGGGAATATCTCCCGCACGTATTGAACAGCTAATAGCCGACGGAGTGGAACATAGAATATGGCCGGAGGGTTTTGTCGTCGGAGACGGCACCAGCGATTTAAACAGCTACCTGTCGAATAGAGTTAGAAACGAAAAAAAGTCACAATCCAAAAAAATGGCGCTGAAACGTCAACACGACATGATATCAGACTTTATAAGTTCACAATGTGATGAGGATCGATCGACAAGTTCATAGTGAGAGATAAGAAACAATGTAAATAGGGGCAGTGCAATGATGCCTAATCTGATTTAGAAAAAGGACTATATAGGCTGTATATATATAAGGGTTATGTGCAATATGTTTAATTTAATTTCACGATAATTTTACTTTGATTTATGTTTGGTTTGTACGAATTACTTTGTTACAATTATTTCAAATCACTTTTTCCTTCACATGTATAGTTGTTTTATGGGATTGTGCAATAATGCCTACTTATTAGAAAAAAGACTATCAAGGCTGTATATATGTAAGGGCTATGTGCAATATGTTTACCTTAATTTCACGTTGATTTTTTCTTTGATTTATATTTGTACCAATCACTTTGTAACAATTATTTCCAATCAATTTTTCCTCCGCCTGTCTGACGGGGTCAACGTCCCGCGGAGGTGAACGTTGATAGCAACAGATCGATACTCCGTTGCTGTTGATGGCCAACGGTCAGACGTACCTTTTATAAAACTAATAAAGAGCCACTAAATTATCTATCTAGTTTTAGGGTACTAGGAATTTCATGAAATTATATGCCCAATATTACATCACAAATATGTATACTTAAAGATAGATTTTTAATATATCTCTGTTTGTCCGTTCGTGTATTTTGAATATTCAATGAATGCATCCCCCACCCGACCCAGTGACAAGAGCCAGTGGCAAGGAGCCCAGGAGGACCCCAAACAAAAACAGGACAGAGCACAATGCAGATCACGGGCAGGCAAGCCACTACATGAGAATAAATAAAACCTTTGAATTGTTAAAAAGTTTAAGAGCTGACATAATAAATAAATGTTGACAGACGAAAGGACAGGCGGATGGATGCCATTCCTATAATTCCCTATAATTCACTCTCGCTTTGTGGATTTTAAATTTCAAAACCTATGAATCGTTAACAATATAGAGGTAACATAAAAATAGATGCTTTCACATTTTATCTTTGATTAAGACCTTGACCTTGAGGGCAGTGACTCGATTATTGTGCTCTGCGCATGGTATCATAATGGTTATCGCTTCTGCCAAGTTATCTAAAAAAAACCTAGCAAGGGTTTTTAGCAAGGGTGTATACATGTTATGTGGTACTTTTAGTTTCTTCTATTTGGCAATTTTCAACTTGGGTGGTTCCAGTATTCCTACTTGAATACTGTATAATCACCCTAAGGATATGTTGCCTGCTTTTTAAATTTGTCTTTTGACGTCTTATCTGTGATATGCAGGCCTCATAACCTCAGATCCCCTTTCAAAATTCCATCTTACTTAGTTCGACCCATTGTTTTCTCGTTTAGGGCAAAAGGATTCTTTTACTTGGGGACCATACGCCGCTTTTCATGGAATGGCATTACTGTGTCATATTGAAGGGTCCATGATAACCGCCGTATGAACACATCTGCGGTTGTTTCTAAATTCAAAATTTCACTAGGGGGCGTGGACGGTAACTTGCATTTTCCAGTACCGTCCATGAACAGGCTCAATCAAACCGAGCCTGCAACATTTTCAATTTTGTTGTGTTGGACTTTCTTTAGGGATTCTGTTTTTCTCTATTTTAAATGTTATGGAACAACACGAAATCGAGCCTGCAACATTTTCAATTTTGCCGTGTTGAATTTTGTACTTCACAACAGCAGGTGTCAAGTGCCGTGTGGCAGCTGTAAAAAGTTGCCCCGTACTTCACTTCAGTGTTGTTATATTTTCTGGTCCTTCGGGATCATTGATGCCAACACTATAAAGTGTTGAGAATTGAGTACCGCTCAAGCCGGTGCTAGGGGGCGTGAGGGATGTTGCACTTATTCATTATCCCTCATGTACAGACTCAATCAAACCGAGTCTGCAATTCTTATGTTATTTTGTTGTGATTAATGCTTCCGAGGGATCACTTTGTTTCCAGAATTTTTCTTTAGGGATTCTATTTTTATCTATGTTATGATCACATCTGTGTTATTTGTGCCGTGTGGCGGCTGTAAAAAGTCTCCCCGTACATTTAATCAATGATGTTATATTTTCGGTCCTTGAAGGTCGTTCAGCACGACATTATTGTTGTGCTTGTGGTATTTTTAGTTTCAATTTTTCGGCATTTTCTAGTTGGGTGGTTCCAATATTCCTACTTGAATAATGTTGAATCACTCTTAGGATATGTTGCCTGCTTTTTAAATTTGTCTTTTGACGTCTTATCTGTGATACGCAGGCTTCATAACCTCTGATTCCCTTTCAAAATTCCATTTTATTTAGTTCTGCCCATTGTTTTCTCGTTTAGGGCACACGCTTTTTATTACTTGGGGACCATACGCCGCTTTTCATGGAATGGCACGGAAGTGTCACATTGAAGGTTCCATGATAACCGCCGTATGAACACATCTGCAGATGTTTCTAAATTCAAAAATTTACCATTTCATGTATAGATGTTGAATTCTGCTTAAGCCGGTGCTAGGGGGCGTGGACGGTAACTTGCACTTTCCAGTGCCGTCCATGAACAGGCTCAATCAAAACGAGCCTGCAACATTTTCTATTTTGCCGTGTTGGGCTTTCTTTAGGGATTCTGTTTTTTATCTATGTTATGATCACATCTGTGTTATTTGTGCCGTGTGGCGGCTGTAAAAAGTCTCCCCGTACATTTAATCAATGATGTTATATTTTCGGTCCTTGAAGATCGTTCAGCACGACATTATTGTTGTGCTTGTGGTATTTTTAGTTTCAATTTTTCGGCATTTTTTAGTTGGGTGGTTCCAATATTCCTACTTGAATAATGTTGAATCACCCTTAGGATATGTTGCCTGCTTTTTAAATTTGTCTTTTGACGTCTTATCTGTGATACGCAGGCTTCATAACCTCTGATCCCCTTTCAAAATTCCATTTTATTTAGTTCTGCCCATTGTTTTCTCGTTTAGGGCACACGCTTTTTATTACTTGGGGACCATACGCTGCTTTTCATGGAATGGCACGGAAGTGTCACATTGAAGGTTCCATGATAACCGCCGTATGAACACATCTGCAGATGTTTCTAAATTCAAAATTTTACCATTTCATGTATAAATGTTGAATTCTGCTTAAGCCGGTGCTAGGGGGCGTGGACGGTAACTTGCACTTTCCAGTGCCGTCCATGAACAGGCTCAATCAAACCGAGCCTGCAACATTTTCAATTTTGCCGTGTTGGGCTTTCTTTAGGGATTCTGTTTTAATCTATGTTATGATCACATCTGTGTTATTTGTGCCGTGTGGCGGCTGTAAAAAGTCTCCCCGTACATTTAATCAATGATGTTATATTTTCGGTCCTTGAAGATCGTTCAGCACGACATTATTGTTGTGCTTGTGGTATTTTTAGTTTCAATTTTTCGGCATTTTCTAGTTGGGTGGTTACAATATTCCTACTTGAATAATGTTGAATCACCCTTAGGATATGTTGCCTGCTTTTTAAATTTGTCTTTTGACGTCTTATCTGTGATACGCAGGCTTCATAACCTCTGATCCCCTTTCAAAATTCCATTTTATTTAGTTCTGCCCATTGTTTTCTCGTTTAGGGCACACGCTTTTTATTACTTGGGGACCATACGCCGCTTTTCATGGAATGGCACGGAAGTGTCACATTGAAGGTTCCATGATAACCGCCGTATGAACACATCTGCAGATGTTTCTAAATTCAAAATTTTACCATTTCATGTATAAATGTTGAATTCTGCTTAAGCCGGTGCTAGGGGGCGTGGACGGTAACTTGCACTTTCCAGTGCCGTCCATGAACAGGCTCAATCAAACCGAGCCTGCAACATTTTCAATTTTGCCGTGTTGGGCTTTCTTTAGGGATTCTGTTTTTATCTATGTTATGATCACATCTGTGTTATTTGTGCCGTGTGGCGGCTGTAAAAAGTCTCCCCGTACATTTAATCAATGATGTTATATTTTCGGTCCTTGAAGATCGTTCAGCACGACATTATTGTTGTGCTTGTGGTATTTTTAGTTCCAATTTTTCGGCATTTTCTAGTTGGGTGGTTCCAATATTCCTACTTGAATAATGTTGAATCACCCTTAGGATATGTTGCCTGCTTTTTAAATTTGTCTTTTGACGTCTTATCTGTGATACGCAGGCTTCATAACCTCTGATCCCCTTTCAAAATTCAATTTTATTTAGTTCTGCCCATTGTTTTCTCGTTTAGGGCACACGCTTTTTATTACTTGGGGACCATACGCCGCTTTTCATGGAATGGCACGGAAGTGTCACATTGAAGGTTCCATGATAACCGCCGTATGAACACATCTGCATATGTTTCTAAATTCAAAATTTTACCATTTCATGTATAAATGTTGAATTCTGCTTAAGCCGGTGCTAGGGGGCGTGGACGGTAACTTGCACTTTCCAGTGCCGTCCATGAACAGGCTCAATCAAAACGAGCCTGCAACATTTTCTATTTTGCCGTGTTGGGCTTTCTTTAGGGATTCTGTTTTTTATCTATGTTATGATCACATCTGTGTTATTTGTGCCGTGTGGCGGCTGTAAAAAGTCTCCCCGTACATTTAATCAATGATGTTATATTTTCGGTCCTTGAAGATCGTTCAGCACGACATTATTGTTGTGCTTGTGGTATTTTTAGTTTCAATTTTTCGGCATTTTCTAGTTGGGTGGTTCCAATATTCCTACTTGAATAATGTTGAATCACCCTTAGGATATGTTGCCTGCTTTTTAAATTTGTCTTTTGACGTCTTATCTGTGATACGCAGGCTTCATAACCTCTGATCCCCTTTCAAAATTCCATTTTATTTAGTTCTGCCCATTGTTTTCTCGTTTAGGGCACACGCTTTTTATTACTTGGGGACCATACGCCGCTTTTCATGGAATGGCACGGAAGTGTCACATTGAAGGTTCCATGATAACCGCCGTATGAACACATCTGCAGATGTTTCTAAATTCAAAATTTTACCATTTCATGTATAAATGTTGAATTCTGCTTAAGCCGGTGCTAGGGGGCGTGGACGGTAACTTGCACTTTCCAGTGCCGTCCATGAACAGGCTCAATCAACCCGAGCCTGCAACATTTTCAATTTTGCCGTGTTGGGCTTTCTTTAGGGATTCTGTTTTTATCTATATTCTTAATACTTGACCTTTAAGTGTCTAGCTCAAGTTATCACATTTTTCTTTAAAACAAACCTGTTGATTTAATGGGGTTCATTATCTTCTTTGTTCTACTTGCAATATTTCATATGGGATTCTTTAAGTAATACTATCAATATTGCAAATGATAAAACAATTTATAACGTCAAAAGAAACAAATTAGTCGTATGGGATATACTGACCAATCAATAATGATAATTGAAGTTATCTTAATTTAAAGAGATGCTTATATTTTTATTTCTATGTTCACAAAATGATGCTTTGTCTTATGTACAAAGAATTATTATGTCATTGTTATGCAAGCATTGTTAACATTTCTATGTGTATCGAATATGATAAACAAGATCAACAACAAAAAGCGGCGTTCATTGAACGAAAACTTACTAAAAATTGCAAGTTAACAAGTTAAACTTCGGTCGAGTACCTATTTTATAGATACTTTAGTTCTCTTCTTTACTTATAGCTTTTTAAATTTCATAGAACATGGCCTAATTTATTAAAGTGCACTTACAACTTGCCCGGTAAGGACAGTTTAATTATCACGTACATAGGATATTACTACTCTTGCTTTAATTTTGTTACATATAGATTAAGTTGACATTTCAAATCATCACAGTATTTTTGAGGGTGATAAAATAAATAACACACGGGTTTGTGAGAAGCAGTAAACATCTCGGGTAACAATAGTTTCGTCGGAATAATAGTTTTACTGTGTAGTTTTTATTCTGATATGTTCCTATATTTCACTAGCTAATTATATTGAACTCCATTTATCTAACTAATGTTATCCATTAACTGTATTTTAAAGATTGAATGAAAAAATGTACATACCCTGTCATACCAGTGGGATGGTTGTCTCCATGGCTCCTCCATCAAAGATGGCCTAGCTATAAACAGAAAGAAATAATATACACCTTGTGTGTACTTTGGTTGTAAAATGTAAAATAAAATGTTTCAAAAGTTCAGAAAATATTACTTTAACTGATGATTATATCAAGGTCGTCTGTATTATGAAATAATAATACGATTTATTTTCTAGAAGCAAACAGGACACATTTCAACTGTCGATATATTCAAAATTAGATTTAAATATTAAAGAAAAAATATTCTTCATCGAAGAAATAAGCGACGAATAAATGAGGAATGAAACTGAAATTCTGTACGACTCTTCCATATATTTGTGTGAGACGTAAGTATTTCAGGTTTATTTTATGCTTTTCAGTGGATTATTGATTTATCCGTGAAAATTATATTTGGTAATTTCACAGTGAAAATTATCAAAATATAATTTCACTCTTTTCAATGACGAAACTACTTTTTTAAAATTTTCCCCATGTGGTACCTCAATTTTATTTTTGCTGACAATTCTGACAATGTCAGGCTGTTTAAAGAAAAAGCAAAACTGAAATTGATTAATAACTTAAATGTCAAAAGTAATAAAAAGAAGAAAACTTACTTCTATTCATTCAAATTCATGAAATTCCAATCACCAAATTTCGTTTTTTTGTTTCATTTTGACAGTCTCAAAAATACATTCCTTCCCCATGCAAAACTGCTCTTGATGACATTTGGGCATATTAAAGTATCCTACGAGCAATAACTGCCGTATGCTTCATGAAAAATTGAAAGCATTGACAGCCATAACTCGAAGAATAAGTTAAATCAACCCAGCGTTCTTGAGCAGGTTTCCAAGTTTTCCATTTTCCTAGCTCCTTTTCTGAATGTTTTCACATCTGTCAACACTTATTTTTTGTCTGTTACAATTCTCAAATAAGTTTTCTTTCTTTTAAAAATGTGTATGACTAACAAATCCAAATTACATCCCTCTGAATCTTACACAATTATTTTCCTCCCATGAAATACACAACTTTAAAAAATGGCTGCCGCTTACAATTTACAAAGTCAGGTCTAATATAAATTCGCACTAAGTAACAGAAATATGGATGTATGGTTGGACTTTTTCTCCTACAAGAATTGTTTGTTTTTATTATCAAAACAAGCAATCATTCATATTTTTTTAATAAAATTAATAAATATCACCGTCATTTAATGTTGATTGGCGGACTTATTTTTCAGCTCAAGACTTCTTTTTTTAATGAGAAATTCCGAATAAATGGGGCTCTCAATGGGGGAAACAGTTTTAATATTAACGTTAAAATTATGGAAATTTCGTTTTAACTTGTTTTTAAGCATAAAATAAAAAGAAAATTTGTCTGTTTGTTGTGTAAGATGTAATTTTATTTCATCTCGTGAACTTTAAAAACAGTATTCTCACTCGTGGCTTCGCCACTCGTGAGAATACTGTTTTTAAAGCCCACTCGATGAAATAAAATTTCATCTTACACACAAACAAACAAATATCCTCTATTTCTTGTTTATTTTTATCAAAAAGTAGCGTAAATATAACCAAAACTTTTTCTGAAATTGTTCAAAAATTAAAATTTTCATTCAAAATCATATTCAAAAATTGAAATAAAGTAACATTTGTTTGGCAAATGATTGAATGGTTAATGTGCGTATGTGATAAATGAGTTATAACAAAAATTAACTTATACAAAAGGTAATCTAAAAAAAAACCTACACGAGGAATAATTTCCCATATTGAAAGTGTTTCAATAAGTGTCCTTTTGTACAACTGCTGTTCCTTAAAATATACAAATATTCATATATTAAAGGCATCACCCAAAATGAAAATGACTTGATTGCATTATCTTATCAACCTACTTTGCCTTGATAATTGTTTATATATATGTACATTGAGCACGTAGGTACCTTCTACATTATCTGTTTGCCTATATACGTAAATGAAAATATTTGGACTTAAACTTGATAATTTTATCACATACTGGTAATGTGTTGTTTTCATTGACTTATTTATTATCATAATTAACTTGTGCTGTATGGAAGTCAATGTATATTCTGAAGGTAGTTATACTTGAGTAAATAGCTATACTGAGCGGTTATGCATGTAACTGTTTTAATTCATGATTTTTTTATTTCTGTTTAGATACTTGGCATACAACCAGTAATAACAAACTAGTCTTTTGTCGCATAAGTTTAATCCCGTCAGTGACAAGTCATTCTATCATTCAGCAATAATCTTTATGATCAGTGTTCATAACTGATTGGTTAAGGGACGGACTCGAGGGTGTGTCTATCAGTGTCTTCCGCAATCGAACTTAAATAAATTATGTAAAATCTGTCATCATTATCATGCAAACGAAACTGTTAATCAGTGCCAAAAGTATTCTTTACAGCAAGTGAATTAACGTAAATAGCGAAAAAAGAAAACAAGTAGTAGTTCAAAGTATTGTTTTTCATGTTCCTGTTTTCAAACTAAGTTAAATAAATTGTTTTACTTGGCTTTAAAATCAAACCAACAGACAATAAAATTAACGTTATCTAACATGATAGGCATTATATTAAGGCTAAGGTGAAATTTGTTATGTAATTTATAGTCCATGTGTTGGCTTTAATTAGAGCTTTATAATCAATGATTAAGATTACTATATACTATACATGTATTTGTTGAAATTTAATGTGAGCAGGAACAACGCTGCAATTATCTTATTTTACCATAAAATTGATGCTGGTTTTTTTTTCGTAAAACTCATTTTTTGGAAAGTTATTAGGTAGTTTTACAAATTCTAGTTCAAAATAGATATTAACGTTTCCAAATAATCAGCGTTATATTGGGTCAAATGATGTTACTTGAAAACAACTAAATTGCCGATTTATATTATTAAATCATTAATTATTATTAATTGATAATGGGAAGGCAATTTATCTTTATTATCTATTTGTTTTCGTAACTTAAAGGAATAGAAAGAAAATACGAACTGTTTTCTTAGTCATTGTAAAATAAAACATCAGTAATAACATGAAAATCTGAACCATCTTTACATGGCCTTAAAAGGTCATGATTTGTTGATAACTTTTTGATAAAGTATGTAAACAAGTTGGCTAGTTAACAACGGCTTGATAAAGATGCAACTTAGAGAGCACATTCACAAAGCGAAAGCATTTTTAAATGCTTAGTGAATTTGCATCAAAGGTATGTCGTTTTTTTTATATTATTATATATACAAAAACTTGTGTAATAGAAGTATATGTTACATGCTAACATTTGTCTAATTTAAAAGTACGTAAAGTTTATTATCATTTTGCTTTTTTCCGAGTAGAAAAACTAAAACTTTCATGTCACCTTTTAGGGAATCATATTTTACAAGTTTGACAATTTAAAGACAATAAGCTCTCCTCTGTATTTGATTGATTTCCACCATACATTGCCATATTATATTTCATTTCAATACGCCTAAAAAGATCAGATTTGAAAGGTTAACTTTGCTCTTTTAAGGTCAAATACCTTTATTTAAAAAACTAAAATCTAGAAACTGTTGAACTACATTTGAACAACATTTGCACTACCTAGGTCTAATTCATTTATTAGAATTAATGTGACACGCTTATTAACAATTTTGGAAATCAAACCATTGGAAACAATACATAGGACGCATATGAACGTATCAATCTATTGTATCGTTTATCAATCTAAACCTTTCATGATCGACTGTTAATGAAATTTTGATATATTTCTGTTGTAATCGACTTATTGTATATCCATTTTAAATGTAGTTCCCCTGTGACCAATAGTTTGTTAATTTGATTATGTAGTACTTTATTAAAATTCCAGACCAAAAATGTTTCTAAAATGTATCGTCTTCAAAATTATACTTTAAGACGTTAGCAAGCATTCTTGTTAACATCTTTTTAAGTATAAAGACATGCATTATTTTAATATCTTATATGTAAAATCTACATTTCAGTCGAGGATCCCAACGTAAATAAAGTTCATAATGTCTACAAATGTAAGTTATTTAAAAATCGTAGCTCGGTATAGGAAGGACGTTGCACATTTCATTCGTCTTTCATAAGGTCTGTCTGAATCAATACCTCGGGTTTTTCAGTAAACTTATTGTCTAAGTACTTCACCCCTTTAGATAAGTAATGCTTAGCCTACTGCAGCCAAACGTGATTGCAATCAGCGTACAACATCAGCTTTCATCCATGCAGTCTGACATCATATAATGCATTATAAAATGGCTTGATGAGACAGATCATCGCCAGGAGCCAAGATAAATGAGGTTAAACATTTACGCTTCATTTACATCCTAAAATAGCCATCTGGCCTCAAAATAAGTATAGAGCTTTATCCGTCCAAGCACATTGTTTTTGTGTTTAATTTAGATATAAAGTATTGTATAAAGGTCATTGGCAATACAGATATAATAATGTGAAAAGGTAGTGTTATTTGTCACATCATCAATTAATGAAATATAGTTCTGTTCAATTTCTCTAATTTTGTTACATATTTAGGATGATGACATGGACTATTTTTTTTAAAGAAGCAAAATCTACGTCGCCTTTAACTGTTATTCCATTCCGCATTCATATATAGTCCGGTTATAGTGAACAAATATATGTTATCGATTTCACTAGAGTCAGTGTACCCGAAGTCGTACACTTTTTTAAGTAAAAATAAAAAAATTATCTTATAGTTAAAAATTCTTCTTATAATAGATATTATTTTGAAAATTACATCCTTTGCCCATAAAAACTGATTTTCGAAACATTTCTATCTTAAGTAGGTCATACTTCTAGGCGCACTTGATTTTAAGCAACAGGAATGGGCCAAATATGATAAATAGTGGACTCGGTTCCGCACACAAGGCCATTTTTATACTGAAAGGTTATTTTACATCTTAAACATGTTTATAAATTATTTAACATCTGTAAGTCCAGATAAGTTATACTTCTTTGCAAATTTTCAGGACTTCAAATAAATTTAGTGCACATTCTTACTACAGTATACAAACATTTATTTCCAAGCATAGTAGCACACAGAAAACATGTAACAGCAATTGAAATATACTTTTTACCACTTGTAGGTAGTAAAGACAGACATAAAACATTATTATTGAAGGTGTTTTCATCTGTTTAGTTATGATTTGTTCGATTAAGAGTTTGGTATCATTTTAATCAAAAGAATCAAGGTGAAATGACTTGACATTTGGTAGTTGGGAGAGGTTATTTCATGTGCATATATTTCATAACTAACAGCAAATTTGCCATAACAAAATCATACATTTCTTTTCAAATATATATTTTATAATGATCTTAACATTAAAATAGAAATTAGCATGATTGAATTGCCGAATAAGTTGTTTTTATGTGTGAACTACACAGCCATGTACATGTATTTACATTTTCGTCTGCACTGTCTAGGGAGAGGCTGGGTGCAAGATTCCAGATTATGTCATATCCTGTTGAAAACATGCCAGTTCAGTGAAACACAAATAAAAATTAAATAAATTCATTTGATTTTTTTTTAAGAAAAAATGAAAAATGGGAAGGTGTGCGGGACCCGGTCCTGTGCGGAACTGGGTACACTGACTCTAGTAGTTTATGAGAATATAATCATCTGATATATTACATCAAAACACTGAAAGGCATGAAATAATAATGCATACCAATTCAACTTATAATTAAAATACCTTCCTTAATATTGCCTGCATTTGAGCCATGTTCACATAATCAGTATGCTTAACATTAAAAGCATGGCAACACCAAACTTTGATAAAAAAACATAATTCTGGATAAAAATATTCACTGAATCAAGACGTATCTCAAAAGTAAAAAATAAAATGCTGTCATTACTTGTGCTGGAACAGTAGCTGACGAATTGCTTTTTGTAATCCAGCGGTCTTGTGATGGGAATTTCCTTCGTGACAATTGATCTTGATCAAAAATCATGTGAAATAAGTTGTTGGTCATTTGCGGAGAAATTGGTTATTATTTGTCAGTTATCGATGAAACTTAAAGCAAAACAATAAAAAAATTACGCAAAAAAATGTTATTCTGTTGTATCATAGTTTGACATTTTTTGTGAATTACAAGCATTAAGCAGACTTAAAAAATAGAAAATATAACCTTGCCAAATAAACTACAAAGTTAAGGCATTTGAGAGGTTGACCACCTTTTTCAAATAATATAGATAGAAACCACTTTCATTTTGAGTTTTAAAAAAATCGCTCGTTAAATCCTTTTAGCCATTCTTAATACAAAAGCAATAGATTAAATCCAGACCCTAGTTATTCTTTAAGAATACGATTAAGATCCCAAAATTGTCAAACGGCAAACCCGGTATCTAAGGTGTATTGTATATGCATGTGACCAGTCGCAACAAACCAAGAATCTGTGTCCGTACTTATTACTTTATCAGTCAGTATCGAGAAGTTGCAATAACACCGAAGGTCGAAAATCGAAATTAAATTTATGTGAATTTCGAGCTTATTTCAACTTTGAGCTAGCTTGAAGATCAAAGTTAAAAGTAAACCAAAGTTGGATTTCGGCTCGAATTTTGGCTTAAGCTACGTTTGAATTTCGACCTTTGAGCTAGCTAGACATTTATCTCAAGCTAGAAATCCGGCTTTTGCAAAGTTTGAATTCCGATCTTTGAACTAGCTGTGAATACAACATTGGCTCTAAATTTGGCTTTTGCAAATTTTTGAACTCGATATCCATGTCGAATTATGGCATATGCAACTTTTGAGTTTCGATATTCAATCTAGCTCAAAATTCAACGCCAGCTCGAAATTCGGCTTTTGCAAATTTTTTAAATTCGATCTTCGATCTAGCTCAAAAACAACATTGGCTCGAAATTTGGCTTAATTTATCTCGAAATTCTATTCGAGCTCGAAATTGGCTTTTGCAACTTTTGGATTTTGATATTCGAGCTTTCTCAAAATTCAAAGTCAGCGCGAATTTCGGCTTTTGAAAAATTTGAATTTCGATTATCGAGCTAGCTTGAAATTCAATTCAAAATCGAAATTTGGTTATTGCACATTTTGAATTTTGTTCTTCGGACTAGCTCAAAATCGACTCCAGTTTGTAATATTCTAAGTTTGATTTTAGAACTTCGAGCAAGCTTGAAATTCAACTCCAGCTCAAAATTCGTCCTTTTCAAATTTTGAAATTCGATCTTCGAGCTAGCTTAAAAATACAACCCTGCTCGAAATTAATTCAGCTTTGGTTTACTTTAAATCTCGATTTTGTACCTATATGTTTAGATGTACCTCGAAATTCACTTTAAACGTAATTTCGATCTCCAGTGACAGTGCTTAAAGTAAACACGGGAAAGTTTTCTCGCAATGTCAATTTACTTTGTTTTCAATTTCAGTCATCAAAAATTAACAACTATAATATTTAAACTTATTTGTATATAAAAACTAAATTATATTTGATAAGATAAATTCGAATATGATGATTAAACCTCCTACTTAAATAAACTTAATCAAGGTAAAGCCGGATACAATTGAAGAGTCACCGCGGTGCAGAGTTGGATTATTAATACATTTATCTTGTTTTCAAAGTGTCAAGACTTTGTCCTACAGATTAAACATGTGTAGGAGCACATTTATCACGTAACGTACATGTCACACCGCTTATAAACACAATCTTATATTTGTTATGAAGCTGCTATCGTGTTAAAGTTTTTAAAATGGAATTATATGACAATTTCTTATGTAAAAGAATCACATTAAAGTGCATTTTCAACACAGTGCCACTTGAGTACATGCATTTGCATTTATAATATGTTCAGAGGTCCATTTAAAATATTTATGATCGTCATAACTGATTCTAGAAGGATCACTGTAATAACTATGGAAAGACATAAGAAATTCATAAGGATTTCGGACTCAAAATGATGCCTCTTCATTACGGTCAGTCTGACTGCCTGTTTTATCCATAACCAAATTTACATATACTCGTAGTTGGGATTGAAACAATTACTTTTCTTCGATGCTTATACTTAAATATTTTAGCTCAACAAAAAAAGTTGTAGCAAAATGGGTTTTTCCGTCTGTTTAAATTTTTTGTGGTATTTTCGTACTTTTTTTAACCGTTGGAAAGAAATTGTTTGAAACTTTAAGAAGAAATGTTAACTATAATGAGACAAGTTTGAGGTATTTGGGTTCATATATTTTGAAGTGGATACATATTGAATAAACAAGAGTGGCTAGAATGAAAACTAAGTTTGCTATGGTTTCGTGTCGCCTATAATTGTCTTTGTCCCGGTTTAAGTTCTCGTCGAACGCTTGTTGTTTATGGGTGGTTTTTTTATCGATTATTTCTTTATCATTTCTTTAATTCAATACACATTTTTGTGCTTTTGCATTTTCTGATAAGCTCTGTAACATTTGAACCGCTTGAGTGGTAATAAATAGACTTGCCCACATTTTCGTTACATTGTGAAGCACGTGTTTCTATTTTTCGTCCGACAGGAAACTAAAATACAGCAGATTTTACCAAAATAGTTATTTTTTGTTTAATACAAATGTTTGTAGATGGAAGTTACACTTATCTTAACTTATCTTGGCAAAAATCATGGATTTTAAAACTGGTTAGTTAATGTGTTAAGTATGAAGCAACCAGCACGATATATCAAACCTTACGGATAAATGATTCAATTACAATATGTCATTTAAGATATTCGTAAGACAGGATGTTATCGCTAATTTCGCACATAAAACAGAAATATTTATTTTAAGGATATCGATTGTGTACAACAGAAGGATGTTCAGATAGTAACGGAACATAAAAGAAAATCTTGGTGCGAAATGGCTTTGGGTAAGTACATTTACATACAGATTATTTTACAGATATACAATGTAAGAAGTTGAATTAATTCTAACTTAACTTTTGCATGAATGCAGACTTTTATTTATAACAAAACAATACTCAATTTATATATTATTCGGCATGTGTTTTCGAATTTCGAGTATCATCAATTAGCATTGATTTGTTGATATTTTTGATATAAAGAATATTTATTAATTTCATTAAAGATTACTTAATATCCTAATCAATTGGTGAAGTTCGGTAATATTAGATATTTTAATTTCAAATTATGTGAATGTAAGATTGTTGGCATTGCATATGAAAAATACAACTGTAATCATGCTCAAAATACTTTTAAATTAGTTCCAATTTGCTTTCTATAATTTTCAAATAATTAAAGCGTCACTTCCATATAAGAGAGCTTGACGGATAGTTTGAATATACAATATATTTTAAATCGAATGATGCAAAAGAATAATTATAACATATTCATTAGATATTTAAGTACTTAATATTTCAATAAATAATCCTTATTTAATGGAAAGTGAAACTGTCTTACTGGTAAATATATCTATAAAACGAATTGAATTTCAGAATTTGAACAAACATTAAAACAAAACGAAAAGATGTTATTTCAATTTTTCAGGGTGGGTGCAATGTTTTTCATCTCCAAAGTTCTTTGTTTTTATACCTTATGAAACACCTATTGTTCAAGCTATCAAGGATGAGTTCCGGAACCACTTTAATTGTGAGTTCGTCAAGGAGGAGGATCTCTCTGTTATCAAGCGACCCCTGATCGCTATTTGCCTTGTATCTTCAAGACTTGAATCGGATCTGGAATATGTCCTGAAAAAACTTCAAAGTAGGGTAACTTATGTGTCGTTTAACCTTTTTTTACCTGTTCATATTTAATATCAGTGATAGTGTGAGGAAATCATACTAACCAACAATAATTTCTGATGCATTTCAGTTTTTTTATTGAAATTAATAAATATGAAAAACAAGATCAACATGGAAAGGTGGCGTTCAATGAACGCAACAAGTTTACTTCCTAGAATATTAGTTTTGATACCTTATCAGAGATTATAAAAATTATTAAAATTTATTTTATTGTTTGATATGTCTCTTATTGGAATACAGCTTGGGTTTTATATTTAAAGGCACATTATGCTTCAGAAATCCGTACTTTTATAATCTTTAAGAAAAATCAAACATGTGTAAAAATGTTTAGATAATAAACTAAGAAGCATATACAATATCTCATAACTGAAGAAATAGCGCTTAACATGTAGTTATGTGCCGTTAAGGTAACAAAATGTAAATAAAGCAGCATTTTGACTTCCATACAAAATACTATTTCACTTTAATTTATTTTATTGATAGCCAACATTACAAAATCGACAAAAGATTATGTGTAAGGCAAATGACATTTTATGAAAACAGTAACAAGATACAAAATAAACAGTTGTTAAGAAATGATAATGATAACAATTCTGGGGCATAAATGAGCCTTCAAACAATCCTTTTTTCTACTGTAATTTTCTGCATTTACATTTCAGGTCAACATGAGTTTGCAGTTGTTGTAATGAATTTATTAACAGAGGATGCACTGCCGCGGTCGTCAGTCAAATCAAGAGTTGATCTAGACTTTGCTGATAAATATGAACACATTACATTTATTGATGCAGCTTTTACAAACCAAGATCTTATGTATTTTTGCAAAATGAACACCCAGGCAAAGCAAGAAATATCTTCTTATATAACAAATCAAAGTCGTAAAATATAATTTCATATTTATTCATTATTATATTAAATCAGATTTGATTTGTCCTGATGTTAGATCTAAAAACATCATATTATAATGTTCAAATTTTTCAGACAGACATGTACATTTTATCAAGAAGCAACATAAAATGAGAATTTCACAGAAAAACCCATAATTTGCTGATAGCCGTAAACTATCTTTGTTGCTCGTCATATGCACAATTTTTTTAAAAGCAGTGTTCTTAAAACGCGCGTTTCGAAAATACTTAAAAAAATGATGTATAAGCCTTAATTGTGAAATGAATTTTGTCACACAAAGGTGCAGAAGTTCGGCATTTTATACTAAAATTCATAAAAATGAGGCAACTCTTCCAAGGAGATATTTTTTAAATATTATCATCTCATACATTCTTAAATACTAGTATTATATACATTAGCATACCACAAGCAAAATCTTTACGCCAAATTGAAAAAAGAGACGAATAAAAGGTGCGAAGGTGTTTAAGAATTGTTTGGTTAAGTCATCGTGCACCTTTATTTGATATACATATTTATTCTATGATTTTGAGTGGATAACTGATATATCCGTGAAAATTATCAAAACATTATGTCATATTTTTCTATGAAGACACTACTTTTTAAAAAGTATTCCCACGTGGAACCTCAATTGTATTTTTGCTTTCCATTCCGACATTGTCTGGGCTGTTTAAAACAAATAAAAGCTGAAATTAATAAAGAATTAAATTTCAAACGTACATGTAATAAAAAAATATATTCAGTTCATTCAGTTTACTAATCACCAAATATCGTCTCTAATTTTTCTTTTCCATTTGATAACAGTCTGAAAAATGTACTTTCTTCCTCATGCAAAACTGCTCTTGATGACATTTTGGCATATTAAAGTATCCTACGAGCTATAACTGTAATGCAATGACAGTCACAAGACAGAATAATAAGTAAACAAACCTAGCGTTGTAAGGAAGCCTTTCAAAAATGTTCTGTTTTCCAAATACTCGTAGTGGTTTAAGAACGTCTGTCAACAATATTGTATTGTCTGTTACAATCCTAAAATAAGTTTTCTTTCTTATGAATGTATGAAAGAATCAACAAATCCAAATAAAATTCTAATGAATCAAACACATTTTATTTTTTTCCCTCCCGTGAACTACACGAGTTTAAAATGGCGGTCGCTTACATTTCAAAGGACAGTTTAATACCAAATTCCGCGAAATATAACAGTAATAAGCTTGGCATGGTGTATTTTTTATTTTTTTCTAGAATTGTTTTAATTATGTAAACAAGTGATCATTCATTTTTGGTGTAAAATTATCATCATTTAACGTATATTTTTCTTACTTATTTTCCTGCTCAAGATTTCATAGTTTCACGAGAAATACGTTTAACATTGAAGGCTACCAGCGGGGAATTTATATTCAAATAGATATCGAGGACATTTCAGTTTAACTTATATTGAAGCATAAGATAAAATGTTTGTTTTTATGTAACATGCTACGCCACTCATGGGAATATTGTTTTTAAGCTCACTCAATGAAATAACATTTAATCTTACAAAGAAACAAACAAATATCCTCTATGTCATACAAAGTTGCTGAAAGATTATCAACATGCACGATTAAGATAATTCTTTAATTTGTGTAATCAATTAAGATTTATATATAAATAAGATCATTTAAGAGCGAATCCTTGACGAAAAAAATCTTAAAATCTACGGAATAGGGATCACGTCTCCGTTGGTTGTTCGTCTGTCTGTCACAAATCTTGTCAGGACTTCACCTGAGAAACTTCTGGTACATTTTCATAAAACTTTACAAAATGGATAACTACCAAGTGTTGTTGTCATATGTTTGGAATTTTCTGGTTCAATGTTTTTTGTCAGGGTCATGGCCCTTTAATAATTTTTAATTTTAAAGTATGTCCGTTGTTTCCTGCTGATAACACTAAAGCAATTTAATGAAACTTTACAACATTGATGGGTAAGTCAAGTATTTGCGCAATTTACACGGGTTTACCGCTGGTATGAATTGTGGCCGAGTTATAGCCCTTGAATAACAAAATGTGTTAATAAAGTTTGTATGGACTACTCCCATTATACCACTTGTACAATTTCTGCAATTAAACTTAAAAGGATTGACTGGTAGTTCAAGTTCTTGCGCATACATCACAGGCTTCCTGCTTGAATAGATTTTGGCCATTAATAGCCCTTGTATAAAAAAGATGGGATTGTTGTTTTTATATTTGGTTGCCAGGTACACAGAAGCATGTTTGTCCGTCATAAAACTTGCCCGAACTACTCCTATTGGTGCAATTGTTACCAAATTGTACATATCTTCGGCATTTTTTGGTTCAATATTTTTGCAGAGGTATGGCCCTTTAATAATTTTTGTCGGGACAACTTCTGTTGTACCATTTATGCAATTTCAATAAATTTTGCATGATTGAAAGGTTCCTCAAGTACTTGTTAGGACACATTACACGGGTTTTCCGTATGAATGATTTTTAGCGGAGTTATGACCCTGGAATAAAGAAGTACTTGGACCTGTTAATGATTTCTGTGTTACAAGCTACACAGATACATTCTACAAAGAAGACAAAACCTAAAACAATCGCTTTGATTGTGGACTGTCCGTTTGTACGTCCGTCTGTCTATCCATCTGTAACCTTGCCCGGACAATACTTCACAAACAACTGGAGTAATTTAATCCATACTTTACATGAATCAGGAATGATCAGTACCAAGTTTAGTTGTGATTGTCGTCGGCATTTTGGTGTTCAATGAGTTTTGTTATAGTTATGACCTTTGAATAAATTTTACTTTTTAAAGTTATTTTTCCGGACTTGTGAATTTCAAACGGGTTTTACGTTGAATGATTTTGGCTGCATTATGACCCTTGGATAAAAAACGTGTTTTTGCACGTTAATGATTTTGTACCTCCAGCTACACAGTACATGCAAGATGCAATTGACAATAATTAGGCGACACATGTTGGCACTGATTGCTCTTGTTAAATATAGCCAGGGAATTAAAAAGAATAAAAAATACTTTTATATAAATCATATGCCAGTATTTAAGAATTTTGCAACCAAATGAAATTTGGTAAATTCAAGAGTAACAGTTGAAAGTAAAAATCATTTTTGAAGATATTTCTCGTCTTAAAATATGATATTTGCTCCTCTACCAAAACTTTTCAAATATTGCCTGTTGTGTTAAATTTGCATAGGCCCGAATGGTCATAGGTTTTTCTTTACATGTACAAAAAACAACAGAACAATGAGTCTCTGGATTGCCGATCCAGTGTGCTAGCTCCACCACAGCGGCCTATTCGTTTTCTACGTACTTATTAACCATTTTTGACCTATGTTTTTTTTTTTTTAATTTATTGTGACTTCATCACTTTTATCCCATTGCAACAGGCTATTTGCAATAACTGTATCCGCCGTTGGCACAATCACAGTTGACCTAAAATAAATATCTGAAGGCGAAAACATTTCATATGGAAGAAAGACACCCATGAGCGGTAAATTATACAGAGAGAAATTACACAAAAGATCGACACGCCAAAGCTTGAACTATTACCACGGTCTATGGATTGCCGGTCCAGTATGCTAACCACTACATCAATGGCAGTAAAATTTACATAGGACATAGGACTGCGAACGATTCCGCATTGCAATGTTCCTTGCTTTTGATACTTATTTTATAAATTAAATCAATGTTTTTATTAAATTTTTATAATTCCACATCATGAAATGTATAAAATAATGCATGAAAAGTGAAACTAGATAAACTTTACACATGTATGAATGCCAATGCGTTATGTTTTATTATGTTATTTTTTTATGTGAATACGTGATGTTAAGTTTATTTTGTAGAAATATAATTCAAACTTTCGCGACAAACCTCGTATGAACTTAGTTTATAATTTAATAAATTTACTTTCATAAAACATAGCAGTATCAGTTTCAGCTCACGTAGATGTTTCACAACAAAAATACAGTATGTTGAAAGAATGTAGGATATCTCAAAAAACTATTATCAATATAACTATGTTGATTATTATTAAAACGAGTTTCCCTTTCAGGACGATAAATTCATAATTCTTGTAAAAGAAATGGGTCATATAAAGCAAGAGCATTTAGTCGAAATTTACTCATTAGTTTTAAAAGTATCATTCAATTGTTCTAAGCAAATATGACATTATGGGCTGGCTGTATTTGATAAAAATAGTAAACAGATTAAATGATTACGTAATAGTTACATAATGTAAAGAATAAATTGAATTCATTATGTTATTGCCAGAAAGTGTGACTTTGATACTAATTGCCAATTAATTCAACGTGACCATATCATTTGGTATTGATTCTATGTCTAATGACCGTAGCATCAAATGGTTGAAATTTTGTTAGTGAAGAAGTCCTTACCTTACACGTAAAAACTATATAAAACTGCTGCTCTTATGTTGATATACAGTTGACTCTCGGTAACTCGAAATCCAAGGGACTAGGTATTTTACTTCGAGAGAAACGGAATTCGAGTAACGTGGAACTACCGCCATTACGTTGACTTCGTACATGTACATGTATATACATGTACCTGATTGAATGTGCAAAGAAGTAGGTTTCTTATTGTTGTTAGCGGCAATGCTGCAATATTTAACCATTGAAATGACGGTAAATCACTTTAAACTACAAATTATAAATGAACAAAAATATATCATTCAAAATTTAATACACGTATATTAATAGTGAAACATAAACACACAATTATATTTGATTTAATTGATCATCGGACGAAAACGAAATTAGCAACTATCGTGAACCGGAAGTACAAATTAATGTATGCAATATGACGGAACATTAATTATACAAATATCATTTACGTTGATAATACACATCAATACCTAGGCTGTTATTTGACTAGGCTGTTATTTGACTAACACCCGTCAGACTGGCACGAGTCAACTTTTTTAAAGAAATGTAATTAAATTTTAATTTAGTTATCTAACTGTTAAAACCAATTAAGTGGTGAAACGGATTAAAGACACTTTTACGATGTGTTAATAATACATGATGACCGGCAATTAAAAATTACTATAAAACGTGTAAATCACGAGTGACAACATCTCACCTTGATGTCGCCGACCTTTGATCAGTCGGCTGTTTTCACACTTCGACTAATTGAGATGAAAATATGTTACAAACAAACTCTTTTCGACCAAACAGGAGTCTCAGTCAAAATTTGACCTAAGCGGAGTTAAAGTACAAAGATAAAGAAGAAAATTTGACAGGACTTTAGAAATTTTTTGACTAACGCAGAATTTTGAATAAAGCGATTATTGAGAGTCAACTGAAATCTAAAATATACAAGTCATTCAATATCAGCATTTCTTGAAACATTTAGACAGCAGGCTAACGCCAAATGAACTTGACACTCATTATAACATTCAAAAGTTCCATCGCCAGCATGCTCGTAAACAAATTTGACACTTGTTTGAAGACGCAAATCTTGAACTGAAAAAAAAAACCATCTTTAACAAGTTTTGTTTCGATAGTGAAGCATAACATGTACATTTTGTAAACATGATAAAATATTTTCATGATGTATAATTCCACTAGCACTTTATGTTAAAGACAATCTGTAAAAGTGCTGACAGTATCGAGGAAGAAGCGTTATCATTTCCATTAACCTTGAGATTGTCAAGTTCTAAGTGGTTTACTCACTTGAGATAAAACTGTGTTGCCATTGATGTTAACATTAAATGCGT